AAAGAGTATGTGGGAAAAGAACCAAGCCCGGGGATGCGAAGATGCACACCCCGTCGGCAGGAGGAAAACCAGGAGCATGGCATCCCAGTGAGCGTCTCAGAGGAGGGAGTGATCAGCCACAACAGCCGTGGCAATCTGGGCCAGTGGTGAACTTGAGGGAGCCCTGTGGGGCAGAAACTCAGACCTCCAAGGAAAGGGTACTGCTTGGCTGTGCTGGCATCCCCAAGTGCAGAGGACGGGCTTGTGGGCCCGGCACCCAGACCTGAGGAGGGTGTGCCAGTTGGTGCTCTGTCTCAGAGGGGCACACAGTGAGGCTGGTTCTGTGCATGTGAGGAAAAGTGCAGATTGAATTGAGCTACTGCTGCAGATAGGCCCTGCCAAACCCGGGGTGAAGAAGCAGTGCTGGGTGACACAGGAAGAGGACAGCCGCCGAAGGACCAGTCCCTTCTCTCAGCCCTGCAGCCTCCCTCTTGTGCCCCAGTGATGGAGCCCAACAGCGAGCTGCCAGCAAAGCCAAAATGTGGCCCCAGACACGGCATCCAAGAGAGAATGGAAGGCGGGTTTGGAGCAGAGGAGCAGTAGCTTACTAATTGGCAGGCGGGTAAAGTGTCATGATCTATTTTCAAGAAAGTTCTGGTTGGGGTGGTGGGAGGAAGGACATATGCAAAATGCTACCAATTGGGGATCCTAGGTGAAAGCTACACGGAGGGTCAGGTTACTATTCCAACAGTTTGTAGGCTTGAAAGTTTTCATAACAAATGGGCGGAAACAAATAGACTGAGTATAGGCTGTCATTTTGAAGAGTTTTGTGAATTGGAACAGTAATGAGATAGCAAATGGAAGGGAAAGTGAGGTCTAGAGGTGTTCCTGGTTTTGTTTTTGTTTTAAATGGGAGAATTAACAGCAGATTTGTCAATGGCAACAACCTAGCGGGGAAGGAATTATTGGTGATGAAGAAAAGATGCCAGAGTTCTGTCCTGGAGCACAAGAGAAGAGGAGGCCACGGACGGCAGGGGGCGGGATCGAGTGCATGTGCGTGGGGTCAGCATGACTTCCTGTCTTTCTGCACCATAATTAACTGGGGGTGAAGTGTGGAGCAGGCAGGAAGTTGAGTCTAATGATGAAGGTATGTTTGACTTGGTGAATGTGACGCAGCTACGAAGAGGGACTAGAGTTAAGATCATGTGCCTGGGAGCGATCAGTCACTGCTTAAGGAAGCTGAGTCCAGAGCCGGGAGTGAAGGACAGTGTGAAGTCACAATCAGCAGGCATCAGGCCTGGAGCAGGCAGACTTGTTGATGTCAGAGACACTGGGCTGCATGCTGGAAAGGAGGGGATTGTCGGAGGCACTTAAGATTGAGCATATGGAGAGGTTGCAGTCACTGCAATGATGCGATGCAGAGAATAGGGAGAGAGTGAACAGCAGAGGAGGGGTAGTGTCATACTTGGTCTCTGAGTCTGGGGTCTTGGGATGAAGCTCAAGACCACTGAGGGAGAGGCTATTGAGGATGGATCAACATATCGATGTTGAGATTCAAAACCTGCAACAGCAGCGAAGTTAGAGGAGAATAAGGAGCCCAGAGCTAATATCAACATTGAGAAGGGGGCGGTAGCAACACAGATAGGCAGATGGTGGTGAAGTACGACAGTGTTCACAGCTGAGGGTTTTAAGAATTGGGAAAAATAGTCTGGGAGCTGCCATGAGGAACAGGGAAATCGCCGATCCTGCCTGCAGGCCATGGTTTGAGGGTATGGGAAGGAAACAGCCTCACTAGAGAGGACTGCAGGGGAGGTGATGTCCTTGGGCGGCCACCTTGTCTCCTTAGAACAGTGCCCGCAGCCTCCGTCATTGCCACCTGTCCTTCAAAGCCTTTTTAGATATTCTGTTCCTACCCCTCTTCCTTGAAATTAATTATTAAGGAATAAGATTTTGTCAGGATTGTGGCTTGGAGAACCACAAATTACTATACTTCCTAAGATTTCGTTCACTCTCCTTCAAGAACCAGTGTTCAGCCCCTTGAGCGTGTTATGGCCCTATTGAGAATGGATGAGTCAGAGCAAGGAGGTGACAGGAACCGTCAGGGAGGAAGTGGGAGCTGGAGAGAGTTTTGCTGATTACTATGTAGAGGCTCTGGGGGAAAGATCAACTGTTGGGAAGAAGCAGAGACGGGGTGTCAGCGTGAGGACATACACTCCTGGTGTCTTGGGTCCTTCATGTGTACCTCATAAATAAACTAAAGGGCAGTAATGCGCTGAGTCCCAGCGGTCTCATGCAGATGGCTGTGGAGAGGCTGAGTGGACAGGCCTGGCTCACTCTAAGTAATGAGGCAGTGCTTCCCTGGGCTGTCTGGCAGTTCTAGCCTATGTTGGCAGAGGACCATGTGGAGGGGTGGGAGGGGGAAGGGGTGGCAGGCACTCTGGGTACAGCATGTGTCTGTTTTCATCTGTGTGTCTGCATTGACCGTGGGTGGCACCAGATTTGGAGGTGGAAGTCCAGATCCTGTTCTTAGCTGTGGCCAAGAGAAGGCTCTGGGTCTCACTCTGTCAAGCTGTAAAGGCATGTCGTACTGCCCTCTCCCCACCACCACACACACGGGTTTTGCATTAGTGAGTCAATGATGGCCAAGTGCGTCACCCATGGTGACATACTGGACGCATCTGAAGGAGAGCCATGAAATCCTTCCCACCCACCCTTCTCCAGTTCTCCTTGTTTTTCCTCCTTCTCTCATAATCTGAATATTTATTTCGCTATCATTCTTGCTTTTGTTTCTTCTGGTTCTATAGTGAAAAGTTGGACTCAACAATATGGTTGGAAATTCTGTTTACCAAACACTTTCTTACTGGTGCTAAGTCTTACACTGGCCTTTCCTATTGTTATAAGGAGAAAGCAGGTTGGAAGGAAGCTCTACTCCCTCTCAGGCTGGGGCTGACTAGCTTGGCAGACTCTGCTTATCCTTTACCCGGATCTCTTGGTCGTGTTCTTTCAAATCTTTGACTGTTTTTGGTCAGAGTAATAATAAAATCTTGTGGACAGATCCATCACCCAGGCTTTTTAAGTCAGCAGAATTTGTTCTGATAGCATTCCTATAGAGATGGCCTTTTAATAATGGTAACTTATGGACTGACCAGTGGAAGATCACTATCTAAGTTTCAGCAAGCAGGTGGATGCGTGGTCGTGTTCTTTCAAATCTTTGACTGTTTTTGGTCAGAGTAATAATAAAATCTTGTGGACAGATCCATCACCCAGGCTTTTTAAGTCAGCAGAATTTGTTCTGATAGCATTCCTATAGAGATGGCCTTTTAATAATGGTAACTTATGGACTGACCAGTGGAAGATCACTATCTAAGTTTCAGCAAGCAGGTGGATGCGTTATAAGCTCGTGACCATGGGCTGTGTACTTGAGCGGTACGTCTCT